CAATCAGCAGGGCTTGTAGCAGCTGTAGTGCCCCAAACCATTTGTTTCCTGTTCTGCAATCACATTGTGAAAAAGTAGTTCTCTCTAGAAATGTTTATTGCAAATATGAAGCGATGGTTGAACCCTTTAAAGCATTCTCTAGTGCAGAAGAAACCATAAATGGTGCCGCATTCTAAGAACAAAGTTTGCACTAGACTGGGAGAATAGCAAAACATCATAAAGTCTTGCCAGAATTATATTGTAAATGGGTTGCAAGCTGTCTTTTCCCATAAGAGGCAAGCATATGCACTTGAATATGTTTTTTTTCCAATGAGAAAGAGCACTAGTATGAGTAATGCTTTAAAATTTTAAATTTCCCTAATTTCCTCTTTGTAAATCATAATCAATGGGGAAATGGAAGGCAGTAGGAAAAGAGGAAGGTTACCATGCAGATGGATCTGCTCAATTGAGGAAGTGTTGCAGTGGAGTGTGTTGAGCAAGCTAGAACTGGTAGTAGGAGGGGAAAAGGGAATGCTCAGGTGCTGGATCAAGAGCAGCAAAGGAAGCGAATTAGGGAGATATTCATGACACCTACAGATTTTGAATCATTTGAAGGTTTCTCAGATTTTGAAATGGAGGAGGAGGGAGATGGGGGCAGAGGCTTGAAACGGGCTACTCGGGAGCAAGAGTCAGATGAAGAGAGAGAAAGGAAGTGGATCCGTGAAATACTTAATGCTCCAACTGAGGAGGAAGACTTCATAGGGTTCACGGGGAGTGATGGGACTGGGAGTGATGACAGGGAGGAGGATGGGTTAGATTGGACCCATGTACAAGAGATCAGGGACATATGTACCAACCCACATCAAGTGAGGGGTTTGAAGGGTTTTCAGGAGACTGGCAACCTGGAAATACATGGGGTGATCCAGGTCTTGATAGACGCTGGAAAAGTTGGAGTGATGGGTGGCGGTGAGCAGCTGTGGAAGCAAAGACACCTGAGAGTGATGAAGACAGGGTGGAGTCCAGCTCCACCTCTGATGAGGAGTTATAGGATAAAGGTAAGGTATCAAACTATTGGAACTTTGCAGTAGGCAAAGTGTTGTATTGGGCTTGGGACTTTGTTGCTGCCATTACTCTTGCCTTGGGTCTTGGGACTGCAGATCGTTGTGTTTCCGTGCTTCTACCTTCTGGAATCCTGTAAGTGCTGACTGCTATCTTCCTGCTGACTTCGGATTGTTTTTGGGACAATGACTTCATGCTTTGGACTGCTACAGTTTCTTCTGGACGTGCCTTGACCTTGGACTGTTTCTAAACTACGTTTTTGCTTGCTCCTACCTTGTTTATTGATGTTTATTGGACTCTGTGTTTTTAAAGCAGTTTGCTGATACTTTTTGTTATCCCAGATTATATCCCAGTATAATCTGGATTATATTCCAAGTTGTGTTTTTTGTTTGTCTTTTTGCTACAGACTTTCAGTTTTGCTAGTAACACTGAGTTAAGTGTTTCTAAGCCATTTTTGTTACTTTAATAAACTTTGTCGGACCTTTACCCTTGTGTTTGGCTCTGTTAAGGCTTCTGGTTCACAACAGGAAGCCTTAGCACTGAGTTTTCAATACCTGAACAACATTGCTAAAACCTGAGATTCTTGAAGGTCAATCTTCCATACAATCATGATAAGTCAACTTGACAGCAAATAATAACAAATGTCTGTATCTGCAGCCAGACTCAATTGTATAGCTTATATAAATGGCCACCTGACCATAATAAGCTTCTTTGAAAATAAGGCAATAAAATGTGCTTAGAACTACAAGAAGATAATAACAAGCATGGTTCTTCTTATCAAGCAAAGCAAGTGCTCCTCTATGTATATTGAGCTTGGCAACAAGCATTCCAGAAACACACCAGGTGTGTTTCCAATAGCACCAGGTACACCCTGGTATGCCACTAAACCTAACAGACTGCCCTTTGTATGAGATACAGGTGCATTAAATGAACAACAAGGAAGAAATATAATGAAAAGAGGCCGCGATGTAGGTGTTTTTCAGACTAAAAGTCTTTTCTACAATATATATTTGCAGTTAGGTGTATTCATTTAACAATTATTTGAAGACGCTTAACCATTTGATTTTTCCAAAAAGGATAATGTGTAAAAAAATGTAAAACAGGTGTGAACAACATGTAACTTATGATTCCCCACACATCCAGTTGTGTATTCTGTTCTCCTACGTCATACGTGTGAAATATTCGGCCTGTGGGCCGAATATCATCTGTCATGCCATTTTATATGGTCCATGAGGTTTTCAATTAGAGGGCAACATACTTACATTTATACAGTCTTACAATTACAAATGGCACATTTAAGGCAACCATGAGGTTGATATGACTCTCAGTGAAAATATGTTTGACACCCTGTCCTAGGTATATGAAAACCACATAATGTTGGAAGCAGAAAGCAGTACATCATATCTCTGGCTTCAAACCAGTCAGTGTAGATGGGGCCTACGTCTCTGGAAAATTCCCCCCAAGCCCATTTCCCATCCTTGAAGTGAATTGTTGTGGGTAGGAATGCGATATGCAGTGGCAGAATACAGAAAAATAATGTGAGCAAAGGGTCAGAGTTTAATTTCCCACCAGCATGTACTTCTCCATATTAATAAAATGACATACGTTTGATTGGTTTAAACATCAATTTTTCAAATGTATGACTAAAATAAAAAGGGTCCCAGTTCGAAGCTTGCACCAAACTGCAGGGGCCAGACAGCAAACTCCCACAAAAATGTGCCAAAGAAAGCCCTTAATGTGCATTAGTGCTCTGGGTTTTGTGTAATCGCCATCTGGGCCTCAAACCGGTTCCAGGATTTCCTATTTATTGATTCATTTTACTTTTTATTCCACTTTTATCCCAACATAGGGACTCAAGGCGGCTAACACCAAATGTAACATAATATATGTAGTAATCTGCAGAGCAAAAGCACTTTCTTTGATACTGGTTTGAAACTGCATTAAATGGTCAGTGTAAACGGGGCCATAGGGAGCATTTTTATTCTTACTTTTGAAAAGTTCAGCTCAAGGGGAGAGGATGGACACCCAGCATACCCTAGTTAGCATGACTACTGGTAAAATTGATGTTTATCTGTTTTTTTAAAAAAGCATTTTAAAAATAGTATTTAAATTATTTTAATCTATTTTTCAGTAACGTAATTGTTATTATAGTCCATAGCTATTGGACTATGTAATCAAACTTTGTTTCATGCACAAAATTATTTTAAAACATTGTATAAAATTGCTTTCTGGCTATTCCAAAATCCAGAGAGAGAGAGAGAGAGATTCAAAACATTTCTCATTCCAAATATATTCAGATAAGGGATACTCAAGTTGTAAACACTACTGATAAGTTATAATGTCAAGGATCATTCGATATACTACATGCAGTGCTCGCATCTCCTACAGTGCATAAAATGTGATTTATTATTATTATTATTATTATTATTATTATTAACTTTATTTGTACCCCGCTAGCATCTCCTGAAGGACTTGATGCGGCTTACACAGGCCAAGGCCTCAATAAAAACAACATAATAATACACATAACATTATAAAGCAAATCAAAAAATTAAGCAAAACAGTAAACAAAAACAATACATCATAACACAATAAAACTAGGGCCGGACCAAATGTAATGGGTACAGATTAAAAGTGCTGAGTATGACAGGTGAAATATAGGATTTAGGGTGAGTGCAATGTGCAGATAATCTTAAATCTCTGATAAAGTGCTTCTGGGACATAATGCTAGGGTTTCCTATTCTGGAAAGGCACACCGGAACAGCTAGGTTTTCAAACTCTTTCTAAAGATTGCCAATGTAGGGGCTTGTCTGATGTCCTTGGGGAGGGTGTTCCAAAGTCGGGGGGCCACCACAGAAAAGGTCCTGTCCCTCGTCCCCACCAGGCACCTGTGACGCAGGTGGGATCGCGAGCAGGGCCTCTCCGGATGAACAAAGAACGCGTGGGTTCATAAACGGAGATGCGGTCACACAGGTGGGCAGGTCCCAACCCGTTCTTCTCATGCATCTGTGTTTCATTGTCAATTTAAGCACAGTGTGTTGTGTTTTTAATAGCATTTGTATACCACATTTAGTTTTTCATGAAGGTTTTTGATATAAAACGCCTTGAATCGCCTCTGGCTGAGAAAGGCGGTATACAAATATGATAAATAAATAAATACATAAATAAAATATGGGAATGAAAAACACATGCCCCTAAAATAAAGCTGATCCACATTGCTTGCTATTCTATGGAGTGGTACATCTCCAAAAGATACTTTCTTTTTACAGGTGAACCCCAAAATTCAACTCTGAATATAAATTATGCTAAAGAAGTGTCTGCAGCACATATTACTTCCCAGACACAGGCTTTACTGTAAGATATACAAGATACGTCTAACTGAATCTCACCAGTGACATTACATACAGTGAGATGTTTAGTTTTCTAAATATTTGAATAGGTAAAACAACACTCCTGAAGTTTTGAGAGATCTGGATTAACTGAGAATGTCATGTCACTGCTCTAAAAGGTACCCTTGCTTCTGAGGATATTGTTGAATTTGCACTCTAAACCATAAGTTCATCGCCTAAGTTCATCGGAAGTGATAGTTGTAAGTTCATCAGGAGCTATAGTTATAAGCCACAGAATCTAAAAGACTCTACACTTCATTACTTCTTTGACAGTCTGACAGAAGCTGTGGAGCTCTTGTCCAGAGAAATTAATAGGAACACACACCTACATAATTTTGTATACAGTTAGCATCGTATTGGACATTGGATTCCTTCACACTTGCTCCAAATTTTATGATTATCCCCCTTTCTGGTAACCCACTCAATTAGGGAGGCACCCCAATACCCCTCCCCCCCCCCACATACACACACATAGCCATACATTTCAGCTTTCTGCCTTCATCTGGCCAAGATCATTTGTGTACATGGTAACTGCCCCATGTTACATTACAGTGTATGCAGAACAGAACTTACGGTTCAGCCTCAATGCTATGGGAAGGAGCAACATAATTGGCTGGGATGTAGCCTTGCCGTTTCTGTCCAGGCCTGGAATATCCATTCTCTTCCAATAGCCTTGCAACCCACCAGCTCTGTTGAGATGTATCTAACACTTCAAGCCTATCTCCAGCTCGGAAGCTCAGATCGTCTTCTGTACGGGCTTGGTAATCAAACAAGGCCACAAATGTGCGAGTCTGGTCTTGTAGAGGAAGAGGAGGCATAAGTGGTCCACTTATGACAGGAGGCTGTATCACCTGCTCGTCCTTTTCACTATCCTTTTCTCCTAGTCCACAGTTACATGCCTCGAAAAGCCAGGGTACATAGGGCTGCAGACAAGCACAGCTCTTCTGACAGCAGTTTCCCATGCTGTCCCAAGCTTCTTTGCGCCTACTTTTACATTGCTCTAGAAATCCAAAAATATTTTATATCTGTCTTGTTCATGAAGTACTTTTTCCAGATTTGTTTCCATAGTACCCCTTTAGCAACAAAAAGAGCAGGAAATCTTGCTGTAGACAGTTCTCGGTTCAGTGCTACTTCTCTTTGCCTTTCACCTCTATAGGTTGGAGTGAAATCTGAGCGCTGAAGTGACACTGTTCATACCTGGGGAATTTTTCACTTCCTCTTCTGATACAGAAAGACTTGCTCCTGTTGGGGGCCAAGCAACAGAAAATAAAGAAACCTTGTAGAAGACTCTCCTTACTTTTCTTCCTTGGTGCCTTATCCTCTTTAAATGTATTCCTCTATGAAGTGAGTATCTGCAAACTTTGTAGCTTCTGGTAATGAATAACTAACCTGACTATCCGGTTGCTTTAATAAAGCGAAATGTGGAAGAACATTTTTAATGTATTTACTTCCTGGTTTGCAAGCTCTCTCTTAGAAAGAGAAAGAAGAGGGAAGGAGAAAAGGAAAAAATATCCTCTCCTCTTTTCTGAGGATTTTCCCCAGGTGATTATTTTATTACAGAAATAAATGAACTTTTGCTAGTTGCTATTTGAAAGGACTCCCCAAAGGCTCAGTAAATTTCCCATTTTTAAAAATGCAATTTCCCTGTAATAAATGATAATATATTGCCTACTGTCATCGTTTCTCCCACCCAAACCATGTACATCAAATGACACTTTGAATCTCATATGGAGTATACTAATTTTATTATCCTTTGTGGCTAATGACAATACTGGCACCCATTTAGTACACATTTGCCTTTGCTATGCTTTATTTTGACATCTGAGAAATGATTTCAACTGTAATTTATTTGCACTTTTTTGGATATTTATAGTGGCCAAATGCTATACTGCATCATCCAGAAAAACTCAGGTTAACCTACTTTTGAGATTTTTTTGAAGTACAGACAAACTATGTAGTGGTTTATATATCCCAGTCATAACACAGACCAAATTTCATTTTTCTAATACAAAACTGACATATGAATTAGGCATGCAGAAACCTTCCTCCATCTACACCATATTTCCTTTAACCTTTTTCTCTTAGGTAAGATTATTTCTGGTTAAGAATTAAATATCTGAAATATCTCAGAGATTAAAGGTAAGTTACAAGTACAGAAGGGTTCTGCATTTGACTTTTTTCCCCATTTCCTTTATGTAACTGTCATTTAGAATCAAGTAGAGTTTTGCTGACTTAATTCAGACAAACATTGCTCAGGTAGAAACCATAAAGTTGACCAGGAAGTGGTTCTCCCAGTTTATCTGCATTTCAGGTATAACAAATCATCACAACAAAGCATCATGCTCAATATGTAGATATTTATACCTTTTTTTTTTCATGTCAGGAGCGTCTTTAGAAACTGCAAGTTGTTTCTAGTGTGAGAGAATTGGCCATCTGTAAGGACGTTGCCCAGGGGATGCCCAGATGTTTTACCAAATAACCAAGGATACCAAGGCAAAAAAAATATCTGCTTTGAACTGGCTTATCCGAGTCCACACTGCCATATATTCCAGATCAAAGCAGAAAATGTGGGATTTTATTCCCTAGATTATGTCACAGCAATTGCGAACATTCTAGGAAAGCTACACTACAGAATGACTGCCTCAATCAAATTCTATTACATCAATTCCAAAACCATGTGACATACCAATCTGGTCAATACAATTAAAAAGATATGCTAAAAGAAATGAGAAGGAATGACTGACTGATCATTAGTCCAGTTTGTAATGTAGGCTTACAGACCTTATTACTCACAAGGTTCAACACAGCTGCCACTCACACAAGATGACTTCTACTGATTTTGCTACCTGCCTGGGATTGCTAAAATGAGAGAACAGTATCAGAGAGTCTATGGTCCCCATTTATACTAACCATTTAATGCAGTTTCAAACAGGTATTGAAGAAAGTGGTTTCGTTGTGCAGATGATTACATAGGAAATCCTGGAACCAGTTTGAGGCCTGGATGGTGATTATTATTATTATTATTATTATTATTATTATTATTACTTTATTTGTACCCCGCTAGCATCTCCCAAGGGATTCGATGCGGCTTACAACAGGCCGGAGCCCAACACAATACAACAATACGATACATAGCAAATAAAACAGTTAAAGCAGAAAACAATAACAGTAGCAGTACAACAGGACATTATTAAAAACTGAGCTGGCCAGGAGTAGGGTACAGGATTAAAAGTGCTGAAGTGTCAGAGGGATATGGGATTAAAATATAAGTGCAGTGTGCGGTGAGGGTGATCTTGACTCTACTAAAGTGCTTCTGGGCTTTGGTAGTGGGGTTCCTAATCTGAGAAGGCACGTTGGAACAACCAGATTACACAAACCACAGAGCACTGGATGCACATTTCTTTTGCACGCTGTTGTGGGAGTTGGTTGTCTCTATACTGCATTAAATGGGCAGTATAGCACAGTAGTAATAATAACAGCAACGTGTATGTTGTTGTTACTAACTCCCTCTAGTCGACTTCAACTTATGGCACTCTAAGAATGAAAGATCTCCAAGTCATCTGCTCAGATCTTACAGCCTCGGGGCTTTGGCTTCCTTGGCTGAGTTCATTTATCATAACACCGTCTTCCTCTTTTCTGGAACAGTGGGTCACAAGGGGCACAAGGAGCCTAATCATGTTCTTTGTGAAGAGTTTCACAAAAATAAAGAGTAATTATTTTCTGCTTTCTTTCCTTTCCCCAGGAACTAGTATTTCTGAAGAAATGGCCAACCTATATAATTAGAACATATTAACCAGAGTCATTAGTTGACTCAGACTGGATTTGCCTCACTTTCTTGCAAATTTCATTTGCACTGGTGACCACTTAGCCACAGGTAAACAGCTGCTGTTCCATTCTGTAAAACATTATGCCAGTTTGCATTGTGCTCACTAGTACAGAATTGCTCTCAATAACGCAGGTCTCTGAAGACCTGCACATTTGCAGCTCTGTTCAGTTACCAAGCCTGTGCAGAAGAAAATCTAAAGTCCAAACTTGGGAGGAGTTTGAAGTGCAGAATATTTCTCAAGGTATCACACAGCAATAAGTGTGATAAGGAACAGTACTCAAAGGGCCCTGCCACACAGCCCTATATCCCAGAATATCAAGGCAGAAAATCCCAAAATATCTGCTTTGAACTGGGTTATCTGAGTTCACACTCAGATAATGTGGGATTTTCTGCCTTGATATTCTGGGATATAAGGCTGGGTGGAAGGGTGCAAAGTACATCAATGTACGGTATTTACCTTCATCATTCCATGAATCAAGCAAACATTCTAGCCACATGTTTCTTGCCTTAGCATTTTCTCTTCTAAAAGAAGCAGTTACGTTCCTTAACAGACTACTAGATAAAATATTGTCCAGTTGTCCTTCATAAAATACTAGGTCTTGATGAGAGAAAACTAAAATTAAACAACCTTTAGACAGCCATCTTTTGTAAAGTTTGTTCACTGGGTCATAACTGAAGAAGTCCTGCCATCCCTCATTTGGTAGAGGCAAAATCTCCCGTGACATCTGGGTTACATAGGAGAGATCAAATCTGAGGCTCCTTTTACACTGCCATACACAATCCAGATTATCTGCTTTGAACTGGATTATATGGCAGTGTAGACTGCCAACATTGATTATCTGCTTTGATAATCTGGATTAAGGAGCCCCCGGTGGTGCAATGGGTTAGACCCTTGTGCCGGCAGGACTGCTGACCAAAGGTTGGTGGTTCGGATCCAGGGAGTGGGGTGAGCTCCCATCTGTCAGCTCCCCATGGGGGCACATGAGCGAAGCGGCTCACAGGACTGTAAAACATCCATGCATCCCCTGAACAATGTTCTTGCAGATGGCCAGTTCTATCATACCAGAAGCGACTTGCAGTCTTTTAAGTCGTTTCTGACATGAAAAAAAATCTGGATTATATGCCAGTGTAGAAGGGATCTGAATCTACCCACATTTCAAGTAAGCAATTTAAACCAAATTCAATAGTGAAAACATGACAGAATTAATGGAAAAGATGACAAGTTTAGACTAGCAAGACAAAAGAAGTGGAAGCTGTTCTGATAAAAAGTTTGGTGGTATAGCACAAAAGCTAGTGAGATAAAGATAAATTAAACAGAGTTGTGAATCGCAAGTGATCATTCACTTCTTGAGGCAATGAGAAAAGGGGTAAATTGAGGGTGTCGCTCAATTGTTTTGATGGTGTTGGAGTAGCAGTTACTCTAATCCATTGGATCTACTGTTATAATAAAATTGAATGTATGTGTTACCCAAGATATTTTTGAACCTGACTGAAGAGTGGTAAATTAATCTCAGGTATAACAATTGTATGAATTGTCTAGTAATCTAAACAGAAGGTATCTAGCATAATTACACAGAGATATATCATCTGTTAGTGGTTCAATTTCCATGCATTGCCCCTGCTGTTAGCACTGTATATGCATGCCCAATTTCTGAAAATTATAGCATTTTAAAGTTGCTTTAAATGCACAGCTCGTCCTCTGCTGGTGCACATCCTTTTGCAAACAACATTTTCCCCAATAAAAGTCTGTAGTTACTTCTAATTCCATTAAATTGTATTCCATTTAACTTAGTATCATCTTAGGTCTTGTTTACTTGTACAAAGCAATTGTAATGATTAAATACCGCTGTAAAACATGTTTGTTTGGGTAAGAAAGGGGCAATCATTCCATAAACAAATTAGGAGTTACTGTAATGCGGGGAAAACCTTGCCAGCAATATTATTTTATGTTTTATCTTTACTATTTTATTATTTTCTTTGCACTGGGTAATTAAATCACAGCTGCAATATAGCTGGAACAGTTGTAATGTGTTTTTTACACATTAATTGGCAACATAGTTTATCATGATGTTTTGGAAGGCAACGAAATAGCCTCCTGTGCTATAGATTGAAAATTTCCATTTTGTGAAACGCAGGTTAAATATCCATTAACAACAAATTTACTTGTACAAGATACAATTGAGAACACTTAAACACATCATCTTCCGAGAAAATTATGACTTGCGGTTCAACCCAAATTATTATTTTTCTTTTAATTTAAAATGTATATACTGTTGTAGAAAAAGAAAAGGGTGGTAACAGAATAAAATTAGCATTATATAATCAAAAGTTGTATCCTTCTATGATATAAAGGTGCTACTGGTGGGATGGGACTGAAGCTTATATGATGACCACAAAAAGCTAAGAGTGGCACAAACAGACTGAGGACATTAAACACAATAAAAAGGGCTTCTATTCTTATGTCCGTAGAAAAAGGAAAAACAAGGAGGCGATAGGACCTCTTCGAGGAGAAGATGGGGCAATGCTGACAGG